GTTTAAACTTTTGATCTGTGATTTGTGTTCTATTCTGAATAAAATATTAGATGTTGGCACCTCCACATCATTGCATTCAGTTTTATTCACAATTTGTTTAGTGTCCCAACTTTTTTGGGATCCGGTTATATATATAAATAAACAACAGTACCAGTACATACTGTAGGGGCACATTAAGGTTTTTCTACCATCAACTTTTATTTCTTTTGATACTTTGAAAGTAAGACCGACTCTCATTCCCAAAGCTGGACAGTAAGGAACCATGTTACAAAAAAAATATATATATATATGTTATTGTAATTAATTGAACACCTGTTATTATGATATCAGCTAAGCTGAAAGGCCCTTTGTATGAGAACCTTTCCATCTGACCTTTGAAATATAACATCTAAAGCGTTATACGTATCTCTTCCTAAAAAGGAGGATTCGTCCTGCAGTCTTAGAGTGTGAGAAAGACCCCTTTGTTCTCAAGGACTCTCTTGCCATCCCACAGTAGAAATCATTTTTCTGAACAATTTAAATTTCTGAGTTCTCCTGAACGTTTTGCTGTAAAACTGCTGTGAAATAACATGTTTACTTACCTTCTCAGTTCAATACTTTGTTTTAATCATGCATAAGAGAAAGTAGATATAAAACTGGTAATCAAAGGTTTCAACTGTGTTTGCATAAGTTCTAATGAAAATGTTTATGGATGAGTAAAAACTGCTTAGAAGTTTTGATTATCCTGTTATATTGAGAATTTACAAATGCAGAGTAAATTAGCCATTTATTTATTTTATTAAGGTTATTAAAGTTCAAACAGTAACTTGAAACAAAGGTCCACCCTTATGTTGTGATTGGCTTGACCATCAATATTGTAACACCCTCTAAGGGTGCATTCACACCAGCCCTGTTTAGTCCGCTTTAATCGAACTCTAGCTCGTTTTCCTTGAAAGTCCGGTTCGTTTAGGGAGGTGTGAACGTGCCATCGAACTCTGTCACGGAACAAAAAGGCGAACTCTGGCCCGGGCTAAAACCTAGGTCTCGGTCCGGTAGAAGCGAACTCCAGGGCGGTTCGAGTACAGTGTGAATGTAAACAGACCAAGCCCCACTCCGCAGGGTAAACAAACACGCATTTCTCTTACCTTATATGGAGCTGTCAGCTGCCTTGTGTGGAAAAATAATATTCTCCATGGTCTTCTGTCTCATCTTCTGCTCATGCTAAGTCCATTTTTGAAAAATGACAAAATATAACTCCTAAAACTGCTAAAACTTGATGCCACTTCGTTTTTATTTTTATTTACAGAAGAAGAAGAAGAAGTGTCTTTAGAGGTTTTTGTGTCGTTTCTTTCAGTAGTTCTTGGTGCAGCGCCCCCACAGGCGAGCGGGGGAAAAGGTTGGTTCAACAGGTTGACTCGACTGCACAGTGCAGTGTGAATGGAAACGCACCAGCTCAAATGTAAACAAAAGGTCATGAATATCGGTCCCGAACCGAGTCTACCGGACTATCTGGTGTGAAAACGACCTAAGTCAAAAAAAGTTATTCTGACGTTTGGCTTAAAGCAGTCTGGGAGAAGCTTTTGAAGAAGAAAGGTCAAACAATCAGAAACTTATGCCAAAAGATCCTTGTCACCAGAAGGAGAAAACGCAGCCCTGCAGGAGCTCATCAACTGACCCATCGGGAGCCGGATAACGAGCAAATCTAGATTTCAGCTGATGTCCAGTGTCGAGGGATATCCCACCTTTGGCGCTTTAACTCATCTCAAGAGAGTCCTGGTAACCCTTGGGCGGTTGAATCAGAGACCACCCTCCAATCGGTAGGAAAAGCTGTTCCTTCTCTCTGCTGGTGTCTGATGCCCAAGATAAGAAGATGTCCAGTCTAACAAAATTCATCATTATTAATTAGAATTGAGCCTTCCTAAATTGACAGATCGCATCTGCCTACTTCATTTAGTTAACTTTATAGATGACAATTTACTCTGCTTTTAAACCTCATAATAGGGCAGCACGGTGGCACAACTGGTAGAGCTGCTGCCTCTCAGTGAGCAGGTCCTTGGTTCAAAACCTGGTCCAGGGGCCTTTCTGGGTGGAGTTTGCATGTTCTCTCCGTGCATGCGTGGGTTTTCTCCGGGTACTCCGGTTTCCTCCCAAAGACCAAAAACATGCATGTTAGGCTGATTGGTAACTCTAAATTGTCCCTAGGTGTGAGTGAGAGAGTGAATCGTTGTTTGTCTCGTTTGTCTCTATGTGGCCCTGTGATGGACTTGCAACCCATCCAGGGTGTACCCCGCCCCTCGCACAGTGATTGCTGGACATGGGCACCGGCGACCCCCGTGAACCAAAATGGAATAAACAGGTAAAGATAATGGATGGATGGATGGATGGATAAACCTCATAATTCACCATATTAAAGTTAGAAGACAATTCCCTAACCTCTTCTTGTGTTGTCAAATTAAAGCCATTCAGCTGTACTTATGATTTTTTGACCACTTATATTCACCAAAATTGATAATAAATCTAACAAAATTGTACTTTGACTCAAAGTGTTTCTATTATGACATTTGAATTTAATACGAAAAGAACTCACTAGAGCACAAAACTTTAGTCTGATTTAATAATTTCCTTGCTTAAGAACCGGAAAGCAAGTGGTGCCCCTTCAGAATAAAATTACTAATAAAAATTCAACAATCTGAGGACCCTTTCCTCTACAATACCTAACCCAGCTTCAATTCACACCTTAGTCCTAAATCTAACCTCCAACTCACCAACGATACTTCTTATGGGGCCAGGGCTTTGGGCCCCATAAGGAGCAGCTGGTCCTCATAAAGTAGTATGTGTTGGGAAAATGGGCCTTGCAAGGTAACAAATACCCCCCCCCCCCCAATCTCACACACAATCTCATTTTTCAAGTTGTCCAGCTCACAAAGTTTACATATATATGGTGGCAGTCATCATGGATTTGGACGTGGCAACCCAATTTTTGAAAGGAACCTTTCTTATGTCTTTGTGTTAACACTAGAATGGACATCAGTACCTCACTTTATTTTTAAAGTTACAATGCTCACATTATCCATGGACGGATGTACCGATAAATGAACTGATGGTATTTTAACACCATCCCTCGCTCGGCAATTAGGGGACAATAAATGTAAAACTAAACTGTATTAATTTTGTTGTATGGATGGATTTCAATGTCCTGCTACACGAGAACTGAAGGAAGAAGACAAGAGGAGAAAAAGCAGAACTTGAAAAGCAGAGCTTTGATTCTGTCCCGTGGGGCATGGTGGTTGGTGTGGGTGGGGTGTCGGGGCTGGGGACGTGGGGGGGGTCATGGGCCTGGAGCGGTGGCGCCCGACTGGGGAGGTGGCTCTGGTGGTTCTGGGTGATGGCCTGTGCTGGCTGCATGCGGGCTTCTGGGCGGTCTGTACCGGCGGACATGGGTTACTGGCCTGGTGACCTGGCTGTCCCTGGGTGGGTCTGGGGTGGACGCGGGCACGGGTTCTGGGGTGGTATCGCTCCTGGGCGGGGTTCCCGGCTTGGTCCGGGGATCTCGGGAAAAAAAAAAAAGAAAAGCAGAGTTTGGTGTACTCTTGGTTGAAAAATAAGGCACATCGAGTTACCTCCTACTGCTGATCTGTGTGTGTGTGTACACATGATTTTTGTCATCTTTTTAAACCCATTTCTGGTATAATTACCTGCTTTGTCAGGACCAGTAAATCTTATTGGGACCAAAACCTGCTCTTTAACTATTGAAATATTATTTTTGAGTTTGAGGTTAGGTTAGGGCTAATGTGTTAACTGAGTTAAGGTTAGACATTAACTAGGTTATTATTAGTATTAGGTTTAGAATAAGGGATAAGACATTGCAGTGAATAAAAGTCAATACAATAATGAAAGAAATTAATAATTATGGGTGCCTGTGAGTGTGTGTATTTTTCTCCAGCTGAAAATATCTGAAATCTCATGGCTAAGATTTAGTTTAAAACATGTCTGCTTTATGTAGAAAATACAGACACAGAAACAACACACACAACTGCATAGTGAGATCCTGCACCAAACAAGGGTTTGGTGCAGGATCTCAACTTGAAATCATTTAAACTTTCAAAACTGAACTACGTGAGCAAAACTCAGTAACTTCATTCCAACATTTGCAGTATTTTAATCATTGGGACGATGTTAAAAATAAAGTACTGTACACTATAAAGACTCATTCATTATCTTTACCCGCTTCTTCCTTTCTGGGTTGTGGGGGCAGGCGGTGCCCATGTCCAACTATCAGTGAGCTTAGCGCAATGTTAGCATTAGCAGTTGTTGACGGGGGGGGGTTAGGATGCGTGAGAGAATCAGAGCGCTACGTCTGTAGTGTTAGCGTGTCTGTGAATGAAAAGGCTTCAAACATTACACACACTTCTTTAAAACTCTTTTCCAGACTCCTCACTGACTGAAACATTGTGAAGTTCAACACTGGCCCCTGCTGACCAACAGAAACAGTAACAAGCTGTTCTGCACAGACTGCACCGGGTGGCTGAACAGCCCACAGTTGGTGAAAACACCATATGTTCACTCTTGTGGCACTTATTTTCCTGTTAATGGTCTCCAAATGAGGAATTATGAGTAAGTAAATCATCCAGAGTTACTCCAAAGAACCACAGTCCCTAATCAGGCCACACTGTTTCACATAAAGCCTTCTACATGTCACCTGCTAAAACTGTGTTTCAGTAGTTCTTCTAAAAATTAAAGGCTTAGAATATTTAACACCTTCAGTGTTAAAGTTTTACACTAAGTTCACCATATATTGGCAAATGACAGTGTTATGTATACACCGTCTCATTTTGCGCTTTATATTTTTGCTATTTTTGGGTGTAACTGGGACTTTGAGTAAATAATTTTGTTCCACCTTATGTACCACATGTGATGTGAATGACAAACTTGTTATTACCATTTTGGCCAAACAAATCCCAGCCGGGGATCTTTCTGGGTGGAGTTTGCATGTTCTCTCCGTGCATGCGTGGGCTTTCTCCGGGTACTCCGGTTTCCTCCCACAGACCAAAAATATGCATGTTAGGCTGATTGGTAACTCTAAATTGTCCCTAGGTGTGAGTGAGAGAGTGAATGGTTGTTTGTCTTGTTTGTCTTTATGTGTCCCTGTGATGGACTGGAGACCTGTCCAAGATGTCCCCCACCTCTCACACAGTGAGTGCTGGACATGAGCACGAGTGATCCCTGTGACCCGAAAAGGGAGAAGTGGGTAAAAGATAAATTAGATTAAAAAGACTGGATAGATGGATTGATTGATGGATGGATGGATGGATGGATGGATGGATGGAGAATTCAATTAAATTCAATTCAATTCAAAAATACTTTATTAATCCCAGAGGGAAAATATCTGTTGCTGTAACTCATTATCCTCATTTCATTAAGAGATGTTATAGATGCTGATGGCTCTAGGCAGGAAGGATCTCTTGTAAAGGTCCATCCCTCAGTGGATCCTAAGAAACTGGCTGCAGATGCCGTCCGATCCGTCCACACAGACTCGGCTGGCCTCTCTGTTCCCCCGGGCTGTAGGATTGCCATAAATAATATTTAAATAACATTTAAAATTAATTTCATGTGAAATTTTTAAGGATCAAGCCTGATCTTTGAGTGCTTTGAGTCAGTGTTGGACTGACTGTCAGCTACTACCACACTAAACTTTAGCATAATGTCTGTAAAACACTTATGTCTACAGTAAAGCTAGTCAGCTGTGGTGGCGTTCTTAAACTGGATTGACTTGAAAAGATAATCCGTTCTAGATGAACATCTAGTAATTATACTCTGAATGTTACAATAAAATTCAGCTATGGTTTGTGAGATATTTTACAGCCAAACAAACACAGACACACACAGATATGGGCAAAAACATGATTGCTCTTCTGCCTTTGTGGGCAATAAATCTCGAAGACACCAATAAGCAAAAAATACTCTGAAATTTTCACATAAGAGCCAAAACTAACATGCTTTTCTATGCGACGACAAACATAATAAGTCGTTTTTTTTAAGCATATTTTCAATTCAATTTTGATATCAACATGTTTCATATAGTCACCATACATTGTTTTAGCCAGCTTCTACTCATGCTTGATTCTGCTTAGGATCACAGGAGCTCATATCCATCTACATCAACTACTGAACAAGAGGCAAGGTAAATCCTGAACAGGTCATCAGTCCATCAAATGTAGAGATACACCGGATAGAAAACCATGTACACAGAGATAATTTAAAGATTTCACTTACCTAATAACATATTTTGAAAAACAGACTGTAAAAAATAAAAAAATAAAAAATAAACAGAGTGCTGGAGAAAACCCACGAATGCAAACTTCACACTAAAATGCAAGACAACAGTGCTAACCAACTCCTCATCTATGAAGTTTAAATCAAAGGTAAATTAAATTTCTGTTACAATACTGCTTTTTCTCTTTCACTGTTGCCTCTGACAGAAACTAAACTGGATTTGTCATCCCTATGAGCGAGTTGGAACAAGTTACTCCATGTGTGATATTGGAACAAAAATACAATAGCTTTAAATTTGAGGGGGGGAAATGGCAAACTCAGCCAAGGCCAAAGGTGCAACTGATGCTGCAGGACTGAACCTGGTCTTTAGGGGAATGATGAATGTGAAGGACAACTGGTAGGGCAGTAGTCAAGCTTTTAATGAATACTTCCTAAAACTCACAGGTGAGAAGTGAACTATATTGTGAATCCAACAACAGCAGCAGTTCTTTGTTAAAGGCCAAAGGACTTGAGCTAAGCACAATGTAAGCTTGTGTTTTAGCTTGAAATCACATCAGTGTAACAACA